GTTTTACTACAAGAAACCGTCTGACTGGAAATCAAATTCATCTCAATATCAACTGTTCAGTTTCACTACAAGAGACCGTCTGACTGGAAATCAAATTCATCTCAATATCAACTGTTTATTTCTTCACTGAAATTCAAGTTTTGGCGAATAAAAGAAATTAATAAATAAACAAATAACCAGCTAATCCGCTGAATAATAATTGGTGATGAATAGTGATGGTACGTCATATGTTATTCAAATACCTCAATACATATCTATGTTCTTCCCACCACGGTTATCGAAACCCAGTTTCTAGCATTGTAAGTCCGTAGACATACCGCTGTGCCACTGTGTGTGTAGGGGGGGTGGGGGGGGTACCTCAAGTATTTTAGTGGTGAGTAAACAACTCGACTATATATATCTAAACCAAGCAAATTAATTCATGGTTTATGAACTTTCATAAGCGTAATTATAAAGTAAAAAATTGAATAATAATGATAATAATATTCAAAATAAAAAATATTCCAAGTAAAAGTTATGAAAATAGTACACACCACTAGATAACAATAAAATACAAATATATTTCAATACATTATATCTTAGACAAGTTGTATAGACTGCGCCTGATGAGAGTAGCAATAACATATTCTTTATCAAATTTTCCAGCGCATTTTGGTGTTTCTGTTATTCTAGACGTTCCGTAAAATCTTACACATTTCAACACATACAATTTGTACAGTACTCGAACTTTCCAGGAACTTTATACAAACTTAAGCTTTATATCTTAATCGCAGTAATTTCCGGGTTCGATGTGGCTTAGATTATACGAGCTTTCAGTAATACTCCTATATTCCATGAGATTTGCTTTCGGAATATTTATTTTCTAATAACTCATTGCTATCCTCATACAACTTCCTCTGTCTTTAAGTATACCTGAATGATTAATGTAGAAGCTTAATTTTGTTTCTGTTAAAACCATAAGCTATAAACTATAATAAAGTTTTAAGTTATCATTATAAATCATTTTGAAGAGTTCAACGATTCATTTGGTATGTAAGAAAAAAACTATAGTTTTTTCACTAGTGTTTTTATCTAAACTGTGTATGCAATATTGTGTCCTCACTAAAAAATTATCTCATTTTTATTTTTCAAATCTTCTTTGTTTGTTTAATAATATTACAAACTTTCGACCTTAACGTATAAACCCCGCACTATTCTTTTCAATAGGTGATGTTACTGCGCTGGAGTAATTGATCATCCGGATAATGCCGAAACCCAGGGTGTTTCTAGGCCTAATCAATCATAAAACTTTTGCTCGATCTCTTTTGATCTTTAAACGAAACGGGTTCTCCTTAGAAAGTGAGGATAAAAACTATCCTTTTGTTATCCATAGATGTTAGTAACTGTTACGATAAAATATTACAAATGCTCTTGTGTGTAGTGAATCATATATCCAGAAATATATATATATATATACCTCACACAATAGCACAATTATTGTTAAACGTTTTAAATTTTTCGCAAATTTTTGTTTAATACGTTTCATTGTAATCTTGAAGCTGGAGAACATTCTATTATGATGGGCCATAATGACGAAGAGTATTACTATTTACTGCTGTCTCTACAAGATAAAATTTTAATATTCCATTGTCTAGTTTACACTTAAGTTTTAATAGAAAGTTTTTGTTTTTACGTTCACAATGCACTTTGCTAGAAGCTGTTGCTGATATGAACTCTATCTATTGTATTTATTTCTTTTATTCGGAAGTACAGACATCAGTGTTTTGTTGGTTCATAAATAAAACAGCTAGGGATCAATAAGATACGTGTTTGTTTCGCTTGGTTATATTTTTAGTTGATTAGGTGAAACATTCTATAAAAGTAAGGTATATAATTACCAGTGTATGGATGTAATTTCACTTCTTTTTTGTTGTTCTTAGAAAACACGAAGTTCTATATGAAAAGAACCACAGATGTTCTTTGTAAAAACGAAGAGATAATTTTTGAATATTATCCAAGGTTAAATATCTTCTCGAACTCTGCATACAATATTTATATTTGTTTTGTTTTTTCAGAGCAAATTTATGCTTATAAGTGTCAACACTGAGCCTCGTTCTCTAGTGGTAGGATCCTGGCATGGTGGCCTCATGGTTAGAGCACTAGACTCAAAATATGCACGTCTCGAGATCGAATCCTGTCATCGAATATGCTTTACCTTTCAGTCGTGAGGGTGTTATAATGTGATGGTAAATCCCATTTTTTGTTGGTTGAGGGTAACCCTACGGTTGGTGGTAGGTGGTGTTGTATAGTTGTCTTCTCTCAAGTTTATCACTTCAAAATTAGGGACAGCTAGAGCAGATAGCCTTCGAGTTGCTTAGTGCAAAATTCAACAACCAACCAAACCCCTGAGGTAATTATTTATTAGTAATGATTAGATTATATTTACTGCGGCTAGTCAGACAACGTCTGAAACAAATTCAACGTAAAATATATGCATACAACGCACCAGAAGTATGCTGGCTGAAATCAACGGTTTAAAAAGAATAATTTATTAAATAGTTGCAGATCACCATGACAATCAAATATACCATTTTAATGGAGACGCTCTCTTTCACTCACAAAAATACTAACATAAATGTTAAGAACAACCGGTTTCAGTTCGCAAGCATCATCTTCTAAAAATGGAAGAGACTACTAATGTAAATGTTGATAACAAACGGTTTCAATTCGTGAGTATGGTGCTTTAAGTATGAAACAGATACTAAAGTTAATTCTGACAAAATCGGTTTCATTTCGCAAACATCATCTTCTAAAAATGAAATAGGCACTAAAGTTAATGCGGATACTATCGGTTTCAGTTTGCCAACATCACCTTCTTAGTATGCAATAGATATTGAAGATAAACTTGATACTTACCGGTTTCAGCTCACTAACATCCCATCCCAAGTATTCAGCGACTGTCATCATTTGATTTACTATGCAGTCCATTTCCTACGAAGTAAAAGAAAGAAAGTTCGGGTAAGATCTTTCAATAAAAAACAACATAAAACAAGATTTTTCATACTTGTGATGCGTTTGTTTTTAGCCACGGCATATTGACCCATAGAATGGCTCTGAATTTTGTGTTTGTTTTTTCAAGTACAAATTTTAAATCATAGCTTCGTCATCTCTTGACCAAATTGCAGTTTTGGACTCAAGAGGTCAAACCCTTTCGATTGATGTATTTGACCACGTCTAATGTCTCATAGATTAACTTACTCTAATCCTGCCTAAAATAATTTCAAGTACCGCTACTACTGAGGATTCTCTCTTGTTTAAACTAGAACACACAACTTCTCCAAACTTATTGGTAGAATATTCGGCGCCTATCTTGTGAAAGTGGGTTTTCTGGGAGTACTCCCGTTTCCCCACTACAAATCCTAAGGCACTTGGATTTACAGATCCCAGGTAAACTGTGAACCTAATCACGTGAAGTTTATCATTATTATGTGCTTTGTCGAATGCTTGTCGTCTTGCTTCTTTTCTTCTTCTCAAAGATATCATCAGCCTTGGTCTTCTCTCTGTCCTGGAACCCTTTGGACATACCTCTCTCTCATCTCTCCATTTTCCAACCTCAAGACTTTAAAATCGCCAGAAGACAACACATGACCAGCCTCTCTAGCTAAAATTTAAAAAAATCACAAATGTAAGAAATTAATTATTGCGAGCGGGACAAACGGAGATACTAATATCCCTTAACACCCCAGTTTAGGACAGGACAAACGAAGATACTAATATCCCTTAACACCCCAGTTTAGGACGGGACAAACGGAGATACTAATATCCCTTAACACCCCAGTTTAGGACGGGACAAACGGAGATACTAATATCCCTTAACACCCCAGTTTAGGACAGGACAAACGAAGATACTAATATTCCTTAACACCCCAGTTTAGGACGGGACAAACGAAGATACTAATATCCCTTAACACCCCAGTTTAGGACGGGACAAACGGAGATACTAATATCCCTTAACACCCCAGTTTAGGACAGGACAAACGAAGATACTAATATCCCTTAACACCTCAGTTTAGGAAAGTTTCTTTCCTTTCAAAACTAAATTCCTTTCACGAAATTTTCGTTTTTTTTCCAAAACGTATTCGTTTGTTTTTTAATTTACATAAAAACTACAAAAAGAAAATATTAATTCAAAGGTTTTGACCTTTGATCTTTGTGAACGACTGTTGTTTCTAAAAATGTTACATTTATTACTCGAAATGTGGCGAACCACTTTATGAGAAAGTTAAATATTTTTATAATATGCGGTAGAACTAATTGTGCATCAGGCTCAAAAGTTGTAATTTTTAAGTCTTTAACTAGCTTCAGTTTGTATTGTGTTATATAAAATCTTGCAGAGAATGCCAGAACAGCAATGTAGCTTAGCTGATATTAATATATTTTCAGATTTATTAATAAAGTATTTGCGTCTCTTGTTCATCTTATGTAACAGGTCGCATTGCTCATTCTAAAAATACGCTACAGCATACGGGGTTCTGTAGTATTAACACACGGTAGAGTGTTGTGCGGCCAAAACAACCTGCTGCAGGACACACTGTTTTTCTTATCAATACTATAAATGTATATACCAGTTTGACCGCCAATTTTGATTTCATTCCTTTAAGTCGTACACTCAATCCATTTTTGTTTTTTTCCACACCTATTTCTTCACACCGAACTAGACTGTTATATGATAGGCCGTATTGCTCTTTCAAACAATATGCAAAAACTCAGGGGATTCTGCAGTATGTATTTTAACTAAGCCACCTTATAAAACTGGCTACGTATCAGTTTCACAAGTTGTAAATATTTCTGACACCACAGGGACAACCAACTACGTATCAGCCTGACGAATTATAACTTTGTCATAATACATGGAAGTACCAAGTTCGTATCAGTCTTACGAATTACTACTCTGGTGTAACAAATGGTAAAGTTCTGTATCAGTCTCACAAATTATAACTATTATAACACGTGATAGAACCAACTATGTTTCAGTCAAAAATTGTGACTGTTGTAGCGCGTGATAGATGCTATATGTTTTAGTCCAAATTATAACTCTTTTGTAATTCGCGGTAGAGCCTATAAGTTTCAGTAACAAATTATAACTCTATCATAACACGTAGTAGAATCTATGTGTTTCAGTTAAAAATTATAATTATGTACTAAAATGTGGTAGAACCACAAATTATAACTGTTATAACGTGTTGTAGAACCAGCTGTGTTTCAGTCACAAGTCGTAACTCTTCGTTATGGCATATTGTATAACCAATAATGTTCCAGTCTCAAAGTAACTCTAAATCAGCTTTACTACGAGTCGAAATAAAATCTGTTTATACACGACGGAACTAAGGTTCTGCATGGTTAATATAGCCGGTAGTAATTAGATTTCAGTGTTTTTCGGGATGCTGTCTTAAGTTATTACTCTGAAATGAACAACTATTTTCCGGTTAAGGGTAGTTAAAGGCAGATATTGGTGATTTTTGTATTATCAAAACCCATTTACTTGGAATTATTTTTTGCTGAGCACACACACCAGTGAATCAGGAACAGTACTTAGATCGATTCTTTAACGAAATGAACAACTATTTTCCGGTTAAGGGTAGTTAAAGGCAGATATTGGTGATTTTTGTATTATCAAAACCCATTTACTTGGAATTATTCTTTGCTGAGCACACACACCAGTGAATCAGGAACAGTACTTAGATCGATTCTTTAACGAAAAAAAACTGGAAATTGTGAGAAAATTGAAAAAATAAAATAAAATGTAAACTATCGCTAAAGAAAATGACTCTGTATGTTCTTTGTGAAATAATTACGTTTCCTCAGCAATTACTTGAAAAAAATGTTTTTAATATTTCATTAATTATATCCAGATGCAACGACATTCCTACACCAAGGTTTTTGTTAAATATTCATTGAACTCAGTAAATAAGTTTTTCAAGTGTTGACTAGTTTTATTAGAGACTATTTCCTAACTGACCAAAAGAACACTCTAATAATTTTCTATACTTTTAAACTGCTCCTAACATACGAACTGCGTTGTACTTTGTAATATAATGATACTTATGTGGTAAAATTGTTCATTACTCATATGTCCTTATTTATATAATGGTGTCAGTTGTTTAGATAATAGATATACTACTTCAACGGGTCACTGTAGTCTCACAGTATTTATCTACCTTATTACCATGATGCTGGATATAAATGTGAGAAACAAAAGGTTAAGTTGGTCGTCTACTTTGTTCTATTCCAATCAGAGCATGGCTTGTTCACAGCGTAACGAATATTGGAACAATAGTTATTGTGATTCAAGTGTAGTAACATCCGAATTAGAATTTGTTGTATAAGATATTAAATCTGGGGAAAAATAATTCGAACAAATAGAGTGTTTTTCAAGATTATATTTTGAAAGTTAAAGATTAAGGATTCTTACAAGCTTGTCTAGGAGGTAAAAATTTTACTTCTGCTTCTTAAAGCATGAAACGGAAAAAAAGTCCTTCTTCACTAAATCATCTTACAAATATAAAGTTAACAAAACTTTGTACTTTTATTTCAGAATACTATCACAAAATGCTATATGTATTGCGTAAAAAATGTATAAAGGATTTGTTCATTTGTTTCTGATAGAGCACAAAACTACACAATAAGCTATCTGTGCTGTGCCATCGTAGGTTTCGAAATCCGATTTTTAGCGTTATAAGACGATAGCTTTACCGCTGAGCTACCAGGTGAAGACAATAAAGGTAAATTTCCAATCTATGTTTTATTTTTCAGTTTGAAAATGTATCGATGGTTTTTTTAAGGTTTATACCTTTCTGGGGGATATGCACCAGTTGACCATGCTATTCACCTCGAATTTTATCAACCCACCTCCGAGATTCCATACATTGAACACACGTACCACTTGTCCATTTTCTGAGGTTGAAAACAACTCCATCTTTCAATAAAATTAAGACGTAGTTGTAAAATGTATTGAATAGTTCGTTTCTTACTGTAACACCTTTAGATGGATATTTAGGTTTAATAATCAAGTGTTACACCTTACTGCTTTTCATTGTACCAAGCTTTATTTCCCCAGCCCCTTACACTCCCAAGAACCAGACCCTACAAACTCCGAGCTACAGAAGTAAAAATAACTAGAAAACTGAAGTAACCCATTTTGTGAGTACTAGCATATCTCACTACGCTGGCCCTTCAGTTGCTCAGTGATAAGCCTGAAAGATTAGAATGCTAAAAATCGAGGTTCAATACCGCGGTGAGCACAGAATAGATAACCAATTGTGTAGCTCGCAGCAAACACAAATAAACAAACTCCCTTTACCTTACGTCATATTACACTCAATTTTTAGGTTTTCATGTATGGAAGACACTTTTATATTATTTTGGATTGGGTCATTAAAAAATCATCGCTAAGAGATTTTATGTTGCTTGAGGATGTGGAAAGTTGTATACTCTAAGGCTCTTATGCTGTAGAGTTATTAAACTTACTCCATCTCCAACCAGTTTGAATTAATTACTGGGGGTGGAGTTTTGAGTGAAGTAAAAAATATCAAACCAAAACCAACGCTGATCATGTAATATCACAACTATAGTGTGCTCGAAATGAATTTAACTGGAATAACATCTCTTTTGTAGAAGTATCCAGAAATATATTACACAATACATTTTTTAAAGGACTTCGATATCAAATCCTTAATATTTATATATTCTTTTCTAACTTTAAAATGTTGCACAGCTTCTCTTACATTGATACTCTTAATTTGTGTACCAGTTTGGTATGGAGGTTTCTAGGATTCATGTTTTGTTTTTTGTTTTCTTTTAATCCACCAACAAAAGCTCTTTCACACAGTGTAATATTTTAAGGAAAACGTTGAACGTCCTTGAAATTTATATCTAAAACAAAAGTAACATTCTAAAGTAAAATCATTTTCAAATTATAATTTCATTCGAGA